ATTGCCATTGCACTTCCAAACATTGAAAATCACAGGTGAAGCGGTTGCTACAAAGTGTGAGTGAAGGCCTCTTGTATGTCAACATTGTAGAAAAATTCTTGAATGCCAAAAGTGATATGGTAAACATCATAAATACAGCAGGCATAGTGTGGTTGGGAGTAAATCTTTTTTCCAAATGGCTAGATGAAGATCTAAATTTAAGGAAAACATAAATGGAAATCAAGAGGAGAATCCTTCAAGCTGGCACATCAAAGCTATTGCTGCTAATTCAATGTACAGAATCAACCACACAGTATTGTTGGACCTCAAAAGCTGTAATAACCAAACAGATGAAGGACTATTCGACCATTTATCAGTTATAATCGCGGATACATTAGGTGTCTGCCTCACCAATTTACCACGTTATAACTATGAAATGCTTTTGCAGTGCTACAGAAGAAAGGGAGAAGAGTGTCCAGTATGCTGCTCAACTTCTAAGGAAAACTGAAGAAATTTTGAAAATCCTCCAACAACGTGAGTTTCCCCGTCTAAATCCTGATAAAGTGGCATATATTGATGAGTGGCGTACATTAATAAAGAAGGAGAATCTCATGGATTTAACTTTTCGTTCAGTGATGGCATATCTTCTGGTTCTAGTGAGTTGCATATAGCAGTTGAGTAAGAAGTTTGGTTGAGAATGTACCTGCAAATTATAATATTACTGTATGCTATGTACTCGTGTACAAGTAGTTTTCTTTCTTTAGATATTGTATGAATTCTCAGCTTTGGAATATGCAAAGCCTTTGATTAATCAACACATGTACCTTATATTATAATATAATATTAGGCCTTAGATTAATCCATGATTTTCATTATTTATATATGATTTTGAATTTGCTGCAATCAAACAAAGCCACAAGCTCATTTCCCTAATGACCCTAACCAACAACCAATATTTTCTCCATTTTATCTCAACCTTTGAGTAGTTAGGGAAGGGCAGTCGGGAAACATGCAAGTTTTAAAAACTTTTTGAGGGATTTTCATTCACAGATCTTGATTCATCACATAGAGACAAGTTTTATGCAAAAATAAAATATGATGTGTCATTTAATTAACAGATTGAATACTTACATCAAAGGTCTAAGTAAACCTTTAAATCTTTCCTCTAAAGTGAATATTCTCACTTATTGTAAATCCCTTAGCAAGATGCTATCTTCATGGATCTCCATCTTCTTGGTAATAATTTTGTCTTTAGGAATCACCCATAAGCCTCCATGAATGACCTTGGAAAACTAGGCTTGTATGAACCTCCATTAGATGAGAACATTAACCCTAATTTTCTAGAAAGAGAAAATATATTCATTTTTCCTTCTACTAAAAATCACCCCTAAAATATACATAGACCATGTATATATATATAGGCAACAAAAAGATAAAGAAAAGGAAACAATAAATCCTTCTCAATCTTTAATTCACATGTCTCAAATCTAATAGGATTCCAATATCAAGTTGGGCTATGAGTGAGAATCCTTTGGGCTTATTATTTTATTGGCTACAATGAATTAATAATTGGCCCGGTCCATAGACCCAATTCAATTAATTCATAAATTAATTTCTACTCCACTAAAAGAAATTAATTGAACTCCAATTAAATAATAAATAATTTCTAAGTCAATGTTGCACTTTGACCCCTTTATGCACAATTAGTTACCGGATAAATAAAGCCATCAATCCGACTACTTAATTAATATATTTATTTTGGTACCTTTGATTATTTTTGACTTGATCACAATAAAACATTTGTTTGACAAAAATAATAATTTAGATAAATAAATATATAATAAATCATTTTGTCTAAAAACACACGAAGGCCTTCAAATTTACTTTGTGATCAACCATAATCAATACAAAATAAATACAAGTAGTAATGATGCAAATATTGAAAATATAACCCTCTAACTATTAATTACATAACTATCCAAATTGTCAGTCTAAGGATCCCGAAGTATTCGTCGAACAAATCAAAGTAATTATTAATTGATAAAAGAGTCTATACTTTTCTCGTGCTTAAGAGTCAAATGCCATGACAGTGATATGGAGCAATTGCATACAACGGCTTTCGCAATATATTTCAACCTAACGCGGATCCAGTTCAAGTCTTAATTAATTATGAGTTCATCCATAATTACCGACTATGAACCATTTATGATTACTATTTATATATCATGCATTGATTGCCATCACATACATATATATAAATATCTCTTGTAATCAAATGGATACTATCAATTCCATAGCGAATCGAAACATAATACATTGAATTCACCAATTATATAAATCATAAATATTTCAGATATATCAGGAACATATATCACTATAATCCAGATAGGAATTTGCTATAACAGGGCATATAAATCCCAACAAGGGCATGTTTGAGTATCCATAACCAAGTTTTAGAAGCTGCGAGTCCCTTAATGGTTCCAATCACAGAAAATGACTCACCACATGGAACCAAATATACTCTTGTTTTGACTATTTTTTCTTAGCAAATGAGCAGCTGATCACAGCTGATTTGAAAGCTCTTTATGAAGGGGAAAAAAAAAAATCACAAGCATACAATTTCCACAAGACAAAGGGACATACGGTGCTAAATAGAGAAGACTAGGCAGCTAAGATAAGAAACAATAAACTCATCCCAGATATCAAGTTTACTTAAAGAAGGTGTTAGAGAACTACCGTCTTCTCGATGATCACCATCCAAAAGTTGAGGTGGTTCTTAGAGCTCCTTTTGAAAAAACAGGGCAGACTTGGGAATTTTCAAATGGGGTAAAACAAATACTATAAAAATAAAATTTTAAAAAATTATAAATTGTATAATATATATTTTTATACAGCATTTATTTATTGACGGTAGAAGTCTTCTTAATTCCTAATGTAAAGAATATCTAAAATAAGACCATTTCTAAATTAGCAGCCATTCATAATTTCTTAAGTATTTACAGATATATGCTTAGCTAATTCAGGCATGGACACGCACAAAATGGATAAAAGATTAATTTGTAAGGTATCTAGTCAAGGCATGACATGAGTTTATATAAAAACTGAATTAAAAGATCAAATATTTACTATAAAAATTTGTGTTCGACGACCTTTAATTTAGAGAATATGACATTATACAGGTCAATAAAACACATAAAAATAATTCAAAATTTCACATGCACATAGCATTAGAAATTTACAAATGAATAAAAAACATGTAGTAAAGAATTAGCTAAAAGAAGTTGTGTAAAATTAGGCATATTTAATCAAGGACAATACTTGCCTATCCACCGGTGAATAGGAAGTTTATGCTTACCTTGATATGGCGCAAAATTAATGAAACACGTGTCACTACAATAGAAAATAATAAAAATGAAAATATTTAAAAGGTTATTCGGATTAAACCCAATATGATCCAAATTCCCCTCTCTCTCCTGCTACTCTTTTTGTCGAGGGAGTGAATAAGAAGGGGATATTGTGGAAAAAAAATATTTTAAGCTAAAATTTTTAAATAAAATAATATTACAAGATATAAACAAAGCTCAGATGAATAAAAAGAATAACTATAAATGTAATGGTACATAAATATTTGTTTTTACCCACAAAAAAAAAAAAAAAAAAAAAATGAGACAAGAAAAAATTAATAACAATTTATCCTACCATCAACAAATAATCTGTAAAACCATGTGAACTAGATTTTATGTAATTGGGTGTACTTTAGATAAAAATAATTGATAAGTATATATAAGGATTACACATTAAACAATAAAAGTCAAAACTTCAGTATTAGCATATTAGGGTTTCAGTGGAGTAGTTTGAGAGAGAGTGAGAGTTAAATTAGGATTTGATTTGCATCTTTTGGATTGACCCGGTAAGTAATCAATTTTTAAATTTTTTTTTTTTATTTTCTATTTTAGGGACACTTGTCACATTACTTTTGCGCCACATCAAGAGTAAGCATAAACTTCCTACTCACTAGTGAGTAGGCAAGTATTGTCCTTTAATTAATTTAGCATCACAAAGACCAATAATAAGAGTAAAGCAAAAAAAATTCATAACAGAAACATTAAAGAAGGTGGTATTGTGGTGTGCAAAAAAAAAAAAAAATACTCCGTAAATCAATAAAATAAATTGTAGAATTTAGTGTTACAAATATGAAATGATGCACGCATTAGATATGTATGGAGATAAATGACAAATTAGACAGCCAATGTACTAGCAAAAGGTTAAGAGATAAAACGAAAATATAATCGTGTTTATAATGTGCTGGAAATTAGTTGAATAATACTTGGGGTAACTACCAGGGTCTCCCAGTCCTTGAATCATTCATCAAGAGGCTCCACTAGTATATCCAACTGCTGAAAAATCGATACCCAACGTATTCTAGAATTTTCCCTACATGATGATATACATAGGCCAATTATTACATGATTTTGATTTTGAGTGTCAAAGACTCAAATATTCAAAACTCTCTAGACTTAACTGAGGGGCACATAAGAAAAAATTTCAAATTTGGAGGGACCCAAATTTCATATAAATTAAAAACTTAAAACTAATTGAAGAGCAATCGTGATAGAGTTGGGTCCAATTCAATGAACTACTGCAGTAGTCAAAAGCTTCAATGAAAGGTCCAAAAAGTCATTCTCAGTTTTGGCACACGGCAAATGACTTGTCTGAGTTGCTCTATGTCTAATTCAATAGCAATCAATGTCCATCCCCAACGAGGAAAATTTTCTGCTTTGAATTTTCTTTTAGGTTCCACTGATTGAATTATGAAAGTAACATGCTCACATTCTTCACAGTTTGGAGGAAAATAGCAGAAATAGTTTCTAGGAAAAATGAAAGAAAATAACAATAGATTTAGCATAGACAAGTAACTTGAGACAATAATCAATAGAAACTTTTTGAACATATAAATTGAAAATAATTAGCAGAATCAACAACTACACCGAGACTCTTGCCTTTCATCCAAAGAAAATAACATGTCTGCAGCATGCTACCAGACGTACCATGTAAATGACGAAGAAAAAGTCAAAGCACCGATGGTATGGATCGGGATCTACATTGCAGTAGCATCTCTAGTCTGCTCCATAGCAATGGCTGCGGATGCCTTCCATGGGTTCTGCCACAAAAAACTGTGGTTTCCATGCAAAATTTTCACTATCAATGCCGCTTCTCTAGCTGTAGCAATGAAGCTGCCTGTGGATCTAACTACCAACATGCCATTCAAAAAGGATCAGCTCTCAAAACTTAGCAGCACCGCCTTCATGTGTACAGCAATAGGTAATTTTATGCCATCTTTAAGAACCATGGATGACAAAGATATTCTAATGAACACAATAGCCTTGGCTATTCTCACAATCACCATTCTTGCGAATATCAGCATCCAAAGCACTGGCCTATTAAGTAATTCACTTATGATGGAACATATTGCAGTCATGCTTTCCATGTTTGTTTTGCTTGTAATATTGAGTTTCTCAGCTTTGATGGTCCCAACCACTAAAAAACATTTTCAACAGTTGTATAGTGATTTACACAAAATCTCTTCAACTGAAGAATCTGAGAAAATTGGAATGGCCACTGTCCAAAAATTGAAAGATTATGTGATAAAATATTGGACGATGGCGGAGACAGGTAGCCCTCAATTTGTGATGGCTCGTTCTGTGACCTGCTTTGCTTCGGGGGCAATATGTTCGTTGACTACAGTCATTTTAGCAGAAGCAGAGCTCCGGACATACTTTATTAACCCCTGTACTCCCAACAATCATTCTGACAATTCCAATCAAACTTCGGATTATAAGGAGTCACTCTTGTTAGTTCTTGTAATTCAGAATTTTGGGGTGTTAGTGGGTACAATTGCGCCAGTATTTAGATGGTTCGTTGCCACAAAATTCAAATGCTCAGGAAGCAAAGGTAAGAGCTACAAAACTGAGTGGAAAACAGAGAATTACTGGATCGAAAGGCTAGTAGGGTGGACAGAGAGCCCCTTGGATTTACGGATCCAGAGAAAAAAATGCAGAAAACTTGTTCACAAAACAAAGAATCTAATTCTGAGCATCTGTATTGGAGTTCAGATTATGATTGTCACTGCTAGCAAATTAGTTTTGCTATTTTCCAGTATCTTACTGAGCCCGTTGTTGTCATGTTTCCACTACTGCAAGGTGTTAAAGCAGAAGCTCATGTCTAAATCTAATGCCTCAAGCAATCACACAGGATCAAAATCGGAACCAGGTACACAATTGGATCTCAGCTGTTTTGTTCTGTATCTTGACAGTGAGGCAAAACTCCCCCAACAGATCATGTAGAACATCATGAATGCTACAGTTCATTTGATTTGGAAAGGTAAAAAATAGTAGCCTAAATATCTTCAAGAGCTTTTAGGAAATTTTACTGGGTTCAAGGGAGTGGCGATGTTTGATAGCTACCAAATTCCATGTCTGACTTCTGAAGAACCACCTAACTATTGGACTCTGCCTTTGGTTACACTAACAAGCATCGCAATGGCACTTTCCAACATTGAAAATCAGAAGATGGAGCAGTTGCACAGAAGCATGAGTGAAGGCCTGTTGTATGTCAGGCTTGTAGAAAAAATCCTTGATTCCAAAGCTGACTTGGTAAACATTAGAAGTGCAGCTGAGAGAGTGTGGTTAGGAATTGATCTCTTCCGGAAGTGGCTAGATGAAGATCTCCGAAAAATCGCTATTGAAGGAAAAACCTCAAAGGAGACTCTTGAGAGCCTTGTTGACATAGCTAAAAGTATTTTCATGGAATTAATTGATAAATGGTTGAAAAGATACTTCTCTTTCATATATCTCAAGGATATTTATACGGAATACATGACGTATTCAAGGTAAGTCAACTATACAATTAAATTGACAACTAATACATTAACAACTAATACTAACAGCTAATACATTAACAACTAATAGATATCCGCAGCTAATAGATAACAGCTGTACACGCTAACTCTCCCCCTCAAGTTGGTGAATAGATATCGCACATGCCCAACTTGGATAGTGATGTATGAAACGAACCACTAGTAACACCATGAGTCATCATATCAGCCAGCTGGTTCACACTCTTAATGTAAGGAACCTCTATCACACCAGTATCCAGGTTATCCTTGATGTAGTTTCGGTCAAGTTCAGTATGCTTAGTTCGATCGTGTTGCACTGGATTATTAGCAATATCAATAGCTATTATCACAAAAAATCAATATAGGTTTATTTGGATCAAACCCAAGCTCACTTCAGAGAATCTTCAACCATGTAAGCTCCGTAATTGCATAATGAAGAGCACGGTATTTAGCTTCTGCACTAGACAACGATACCACATTCTGTTTCTTACTCCTCCAGGTCACCAAATTTCCTTCAACGAATGACACATGCCATGAAGTAGACTTCCTATCCAACTTGGTTCCCGCAAAATTAGAATCTGTATAACCCACAATGTCTAGGTGTCCATGACTGGAGAACAAAATACCTTTACCTGGAGAGGACTTTAGATAAGCCAAAATACGATTCACTACATTCATGTGTCGGTCACTCGGATTGTGCATGAATTGACTCACAACACTAACTGCATATGACAAGTCAGGCCTAGTGTGAGTCAAATAGATCAACTTCCCCACTAGTCTCTGATATCTCTCCTTGTTTGTCGGAATCTGATCAGGATAGATAGCTAAGCCATCGTTTACTTCAATAGGAGTGTCTATAGGAACACACGCAGAGTTACCAGTTTCAGCCAAGAGATCTAATATATACTTTCATTGAGAGAGAAAAAGTCCCTGCTTGGACCGAGACACTTCAATGCCCAGAAAGTATTTCAGAACCCCCAAGTCCTTCATTTCAAATTCCTTGACCAAATAGCTCTGAAGCTTCTTTATCTCATTGGTGTTACTACCTATAACAATCATGTCATCCATATAAACGATAAGCAAAATAATATCATCACCATTTCTCTTATAGAAGAGAGTATGATCTGCCAAAGCTTGCTTAAAACCATACTTCTTCATTGAGTAGCTCAACCTGCCAAACCATGCTCTTGGTGATTGTTTCAACCCATCTAAAGCCTTCTTTAGCTTGCATACCTTACCTCTTTCAGGTGTAAACCCCAGGGGATGATCCATATACACCTCCTCTATCAAATCACCATGAAGGAAGGCATTCTTCACATCAAACTATTGTAATGGCCAGTCCAAATTAACTGTGAGAGAGAGTATAACTCGAACAGTGTTCATCTTGGCCACAAGAGCGAAGGTCTCTTGATAATCAATCCCATAAGTCTGAGTGTATCCCTTGGCAACTAGTCTAGCCTTGTACCTCTCAACTGTCTCATCTGACTTATACTTCATTGTAAACACCCACTTACATCCCATTGTCTTCTTTTCCTGAGGTAACTCGACCTACTCCTAAGTAGAGTTCTTCTGGAGAGCCTTCATTTCCTCTACCATAGCAGCCTTCCACTTAAGATCTCTAAGGGCATCCTGAAAATGAGTAGGAACAGACACAGAAGACAACTGAAGGGCAAAAGCTAGGTGAGTCTTAGACAAACGGTGATAGGAAACAAAATCAGAGATAGGATAAACAACATTAGAAGAAAATTTGGAGAAACCCAACCTATCAAGTTCTTTACGATCACGAAAAGGATACCTCTTACCCTGATCACCAACTTGTGGGTTCAAGGCAGCAGTCTCCACAGAAGTTACAAGGTTAGAATTAATATATGAAGTTGAAGTTAAAGGAGAAGAAACATGTACCTCAGAGTTAATCCTAAAAGATTCATCCGATGGCATGGTAGTATCATCCAGAGGAGTACTAGAGTTAGAAGGAGGCGGCATGACAGTGGCATCCTTGTTCCTTCTCACATATACTTCTTTGAACAAGTGGGCGGTCTTTCACCTATTTTTTCATCGAACTCAGTTTCCACATGATCAAGAGTATCGTTCCCCTTTTTTCATAATAGCAAAATCCTCCCCCTTACCTGAAATCCACAACCTCTTTTCTTCCAGCCATAACCGTTCCTCTTCCTTACTACTAATCTCCCCCTAAAGAGGAATCAGAGATACATCCCCAGAAAAATAAGACTCTCTTTCACAAAACTGAAGATCCATGGACGCATAGTATTTACTTGTAGGAGGATTAAAACATTTATAGCCCTTTTGTGAACTAGAGTAACCAAGGAAGACACACTTAAGAGCACGAGGGTCAAGCTTATCCCTATGAAGAGAATGTATAAGAACATAACATACACAACCAAAAACCTTAGGACAAAGATTTAGTGTAGAAGGAATAGAGTGAAATTGGGATAGCATTCTCAATGGAGTTTGATATTTAATTATATGAGATAGCATTCGGTTAATAAGAAAAACAGCAGTCATAATAGCCTCGGCCCAGAAATGCTTAGGAACATTCATAGTAAAGCATAAGGTATAAGCCACCTCTAAGAGATGATGATTCTTACGCTCTACTATGCAGTCTTGTTGTGGCGTGTAGGCGCACGTTGTCTAGTGGAGGATGCCATGTTGTTTGAAGAAATCAGTAAGAGGCTAATTCACAAACTCACGACCGTTGTCAAAATGGAAAACCTGAACCTGAGTATGAAATTGTGTGACAATCATTTCATAAAACTGATGAATGATATGTCTAACATCACTCTTAGATTTTAGCAAATAAACCCAACTCACTCTAGTACAGTCATCAATAAAAGATATAAAGTATTTATGGCCCGAAGCAGGAGTAGAAAAAGAACCCCACACATCTGTGTAAACACATGAAAAAGGAATATGACTTTTATTAAAACTCACTTTAAAAGGAATACGATGGTTTTTAGCATAAATGCATTGTTCACACCCTAAACTAGAAGTAGAAATATTACAAAATAACTTAGGAAATAAACGTTCTAAATACGAGAAAGATGGAGGTCCTAAACAACAATGCCATAAAAATATCTTCTCTCTGTCAGACTCTCTCTCTACTTGAAAACCACGGCTAGGTTCAGATTTTAACTCCCTTACCCCCTTCTCCAAGTAATAAAGACCTCATCTCTCCTTACCAATGCCAATCGTCATCTTCGTAAGATTGTCCTGAAACACACAATGGGTAGAATGAAAAGCTACAAAACAATTAAGATTTTTGGTAATTTTGCTAATGGAAAGAAGGCTGTTAGAGAGATTAGGTGCAAGTAAAACTGAAGACATGGAGAATATCGAAGAAAGTGAGACATTCCCAGCCCTTGTAATTGGAATAGGAGTCCTGTTAGCAACCTGAACAGACTTAACGGGTAAAGGTATTAGAGAGTCAAGTATGGAAGAGTTACTAGTCATATGACTAGTGGCCCCTGAATCAATAACCCAAGTGTTAGAAGCAACGAAAATAAAGGCCAAACCAGAATTACCTCATTAAGAAGACACTCAAGATACATGAGAAGCAGAAGATGGAGAAGTGTCAGTGATAGCAACCTGAGCAAATTTCTTATTCTTCTTCTCAGCTTGCTTAAGCTTGAACCACTCTGGATAACCATGTTTCTTCCAGCAAACATCAACTGTATGTCTCGTACTATTGCAGTAAGTGCAGAGACGAAAAGTATAGTCGTTAGAAGGAGGAGCTGGTTGAGAACTCTTTTGGACAGCAAGAGCCGAGGCCTCTGAGTGATCCTTTGTTGCCATGGTGACCTGTCTCTGTGTTTCACGACGAACTAGAGAATATGCTTCTTCCAGGCTTGGTAAAGGAGAGGTAGCTAGAACACGACTACTAACTTGATCCAAACTGTGATCCAAACCTACAAAAAACATATAAAGCCGATCCTCAGAAATACGCTTCCTCTGTTTCTTAATATCAGTTGCACACGTCATATCATTTGGTCTTCGATAGTCAAGTTGCTTGAAGATTGAGTTCAACTCATTGTAGTACTCTACAAGAGGCCGACCATCCTTACGCAATTGAAAGGACTTCTTCATCAGTTCATAAACCTGAGAAGAATCAGAGACATCAAGATAACTTCTCTTTACCCCATCCCAAACCTCCTTGGCTATTCCACACTGCACAAAGTGGGACATGAAATTAACCGTCATGGAATTGATAAGCCAAGACTTGACTAGGGCATCTTCAACCTCCCATTCATCATAGCTTAGATCATCCTTTGCAGGTGCAACCTTTCTCCTTATGATATACCCCTTTATCTGTCTACTAGCAATATGCATCTCCAAAAAACACGATAATTAGCACCATCCAATTTAATAGGAATGGGAGAAGAAGTTTCGTGAATAGTCATCGTGGAGGACTTCTTGCTGTCAGATGAAATCTTG